TACTGCAATGGCGTGACTGTGGCAGGAAAGCAAGTGATGCAGATTTGTTTACTTTCTCACAGCTTGTAAAAGCTACGTTTACAGTAGACCGTCATCAGTCTAGCCAGCATACAGCAGCACTATGAAAACCTCTGAAACATTGGGAGGATTCTCAAAATATGACACACTGACACAAAGCGAGCATGTACTGTGAGAAAAATGGCGCTGAGAGACTTGCTTGATGCAGTGTTGTCACAAACCTACAATTTGGTGGTTGTTTTTTTTTAAAAAAATAATTTTAATGAAAGTTTAGAGAGACTTAGGGTTTCCAGTCATTCACGGTTGCACTTTTCTCCCTGCCCACCCCCTACCCCCATTCACTCTTCTCCTTGAAAAGAAAAAGAAAAACCCTTTCATTGTTATGCAATCCCCTCCCCCAAGTCCACTCCACTATGCAGCCTTCTCTCTGGACTTCTGTAATGACAAGAATACCCATTCATATGTCCCTTTTAAACAGTTCTCTCCCTCATCTGTTTCAATGCAATATACATCATTCCTCCCTTCCTTTTCTGTCTTCCCTCAACCCTGATGTTAGTCCCATTTTGCAACAGTGGCCCTATGCAATATTTGTCCTTTTATGACTGAGATATTTCACTCGGCATAATGTCCTCCAGGGAACTCATGAAATATTATGCAAAATGGATGACCCCGGAGGACAAACCTACAATTTGTAAAAAAAATAATAAAATCAGTATCTGTGGAGTACAATAAAATGAACTCTGCCTGTAACCACCCAGCACGGATAGCCTGGTGCCACTGAGGCCACAGGGTCATGACACTGTTATATTGTTACTGTGTTACCACACCTTGTTATGTGCCCTGGAGTCAGAAATGACTCACAGCTGACCCTCCAGCAGAAATTCTTGAGGGGAGAGTTAGTTTCCAGGTGATGCATATCATCTTCATCAGGTGAGTTTGTCAACAGCGTAAGAGTCTCCAGCTCCCCAACTGGAAAAATAACCCTTCACCTCTAGCCTCTACAGGTCTACAAAATGGTAGGTGGCTTATTCATAACAGTTTGGAAGTAATTTTTCCTCCTATTCTTCCTCCTTACTCTGGGACCAAGCGTTAAGGTAATTAAAAGAGCAAACTGATTAAAAAGGGCCACCCTGGGGACCTCAGGTACGTCCTGTTTCATCTCGCTGGTGTGGGACAACAGTTGTTTGACCTGGTGGTAGTGCATTGTACTGGAAAATGGACTCTCTTTTTATTTCTTTAATGAGGAGTAAAGTCTTCCAGAACAACCTCTAATGCGTTCCCCCTTGCTGTTAAAGTTTTCAGCTTAGCAGCTTTTGGTTGTGGCTTTTAAGGGCCTGGCATCTTTCACTGGGGTCCCAAATGCTCTGTGTGGACCAGTCAACTTGGGCAGGCTTGAAAAACATTAGGGAATTCTGTAATTAACTCTTCGTTCATTCATATTAGTTTTATGCCCCAAATCTTGAAATAGTTTACAGGGCTTTGGCTGCAACATTTAAAAATAAAAATCACAGAAAATTTTTGAGTTGTTGGTACTTAAAAAAAAGACTGAGTAGAAAACAAAAATCCTTTGGAAGTTTCAGTTTTCTTCATCTGTAAAATGGACTCAGGTTAACTGCTGTTTATAAAGGTCTTGGCTGGTTATTTGTGTTGTTTATGAAGATCTTGGTCATGTTCTTGCTTTCCTTTTTTCCCTCTTTCCTTGTGTCTGTTTTTGTCTGGAGGTTTATGGCTGCAGATTCGTGTTTCATGTGTAAATGTGAGATTTTGCCTCTGAGTCTAAACTTCGATTTCACTTTAGAAATTTCCACTCACTGATAATATTTCTTGGTAAAAAGTAGTGGCTGAATCCTCAAGAAATCCTGCATTTGCCCTTCTGGACCAACCAAGCTTCACTTACCCATATGAATCATTGCCTCTAGACGGAAATCTCTGCCACTTTATCTTAATATTTATTACTTCAGAACTGAAGTCAGCTACAGCCATTTTGGTGCTTCTGATACAAAAGCAACACTCCTGGGAATTAACCATACTTCCCCAGAGCCTCTGATGGGCTGTTCTTTAGGCTCATTGGCTCAAAGCATCCTTGCGAATGACTAGGAAGCCAAGTCACAAGAGAATGTGACAGGAACCTTGCATAGGCCAAATCTGAAAGTAGGTTAACAAGAGACAGTCAGGGCGCTAAGAGTGTCAGTCAGTGCCTGAATCAAGCAGGGAAATTTAACGGGACATCAACGGCCACTGGCGGCCAACACTTCATGTGCCTATATGGATAATATGCATCTGACTAGGAACCAGAGTTCTATGGCTTCATGAAAGGATTGAGGGGGTAGAGGGTGAAAATTGAACTACCAGCAAGCCCAGGCTTACTCTAATGGCAGTCAAGAATCCTTTCCCTTCCCATAATTCCCTACTCTGCCTGTAGCTAAGCAGATTCCAGCTTCCCTTCAACAGCTGGGAATAGAGGGTGACTAGAGGGTCAACTACAGTGTCAGTACAGTATTTTCTGTGCAGTCTTCACAGTTCTGAATGGCCGAGGCTCACGATTTCGCATCCAGTATTCCCATCTACAGCTTCTCCCCCAAAGCCCCCAGTAGCTGCTGGTTAATGGCACAGACTTCTTGGGGTTGGGGCTGGGTAGAAGGTCTGGTCCAGAAAGCCATCTGCGGCACAGGGTGGTCCATGCTGGCTCAGCCTTCAGAGTTGGCTACGGAAGCAGCCTTGCTCCCTCAAACAAGAGCTAACATCTGTAGAGAGAAAGGCTAGCTGCAACAGAGAGAAATTTGGGGGCACACAGTTTGTAAGGAAATTACAGGCTACAAATGCCATCTTTTCCATCTTGATGTTGTTTGGCTCTAAGCCCTTGCTTCAAAAGTGCAAATTAGGAGTTTCATGCCCTCAAAGTCACAGAAGCACCGGCTCTTCCCAGCATCCTGTGAAGACAGGGCCCTGTTGACTGTGATAAAGGGGCTTCTCAGCGCTGCCACGACAGCAGAAAAGTGCCAGCACCAGGCAAATGGGAAACTAGAGTCCCCAGGCACGTTCGTGTTTTATTTGAAAGTAGAATCTGCATGCCATGCTCAGGAAACATGGCCAGAAACCCACATTGAGACTAAAAATGGAAAAACACAGCACCATTTCGAAGCTGAAAGGACAGAGCCTGGCTCTGTGTGTGTGTGCTGCAGAGCGGGACCAGCCAGCCTGACGAGAAACAGCTATTTGGTTCTTTAGCATCACATGACAGGCTGCAAAAGAAATCTTAACAACACAGGAAAAGAGCATGAAAAAGAAAATCCATTTCTGGGTGTATGGTACGGGACCAGCTAGAACTGTAACTCTATCCACAAAGGGCCTGGCAATAAAAGAACAGTCCTGCGACTGCTTTTCCTCCTGTTCGCGTTCACGCGAACAGCTGGATACATACTAATTGCAAGACGTGAAAGAATGAGCTTTCCGTCTAAAAGCAGGAGTGCAGTCACTGGTCCCTCACCAGCCCAGCTTCAGACCCAAGTGTGATGTACCACCCCACAGGCTTCTCTAAACGTACCTTCACTCCTTCCTTTGGTTGCATGGCCCTAAGCTGTTCCGAGGGCCCCGTGACCGTCTGGCAAGGAATGGCTGGACCAGGTTTTCTCAGCCTTGGCACCAATGACACTAGAGGGCAGATCAACCGTCGTTGTATCTATAGTAACTGTCCCGTGGATTATAAGATGTTTAGCCCTATCCCCCGGCCTTTCCCCACTAGATGCCAGTAGCACTGTTTCTATTCTGACAACTCAAAATGCCTGCAGACAATGCCACATACTTCCCAGGGATGCAAACATCGTGGCTGAGGACCACTTGGCTGACAGTGGCTTTTTCTTTTCTTTCCTCTCCTCTCCTCCCCTCCCCCTTCCCTTCCCCTTCTTTCCTTTCCTTCCCCTTCCCCCCCCTTCTTTCCTGTCATATATCTTCATCCGACTCACACTTTGAATCAGAACCAACTCATAGCTGATTGTCCAGTGGGTTTTCGTGGGCTGTAAATCACATGGGAAGAGATTACCTGTCTCTCTCCCATGGAGCCTTTGCTAATGGATTCAAACTGCCCGAGAGGTCCTTGTCCCTTTAAGCTTATGTGTCGTGGTGCCGTCTCCCCTCATCTCTGCTCCCCTCTCTCCTTTAGTCACTTTCTATATTTCAAACAAGAGGGACTCAGAAAACACTCTACCCAGATCTTGGCTCAATGATCTGCCAAAGACAGCCAATTCCCAACTAGAATCATGGCTCCAGACACAGAGGCGAAGACACCACGTAGTTGAGTGTGGGGAGTTTCCAGAATTCAGTCCCTTGCAGGCAGGGTTGCCATGACTGATTTTTCAGAAGTAGACTTGCTGGCCTCTTCGGGGTGCCCCTGGGTGAACTCACCATGCCAATCTTTCACTTAGCCATTGAGAACTTACCTGTGGGCACCGGTCAGGGCTGCCACTGCTACCCAGACAAGAAAGTGAGGACGATGTAGGACTTTGAGCAAGCTAGGCTCGCTTGGCCTCAGTTTCTTCATTTGTGCAAACAGGGCACAAGGAAAGGCTGGGGAGGTGAGGTGCCAGCTTAATGTGGTTGTTGGACGTCAAGTGCTCTGCCAGCACCTTCCACAGACGACCACAGACACACCTCTAAAATGAACCTGCTTCCCCACCCAGAGTTGAGCTGCAAAAGGCAGTCTCCTCCTGAACTGTGAGAAAAGAAAATGGATTTGTTTGGTAAAGCCTCCCACTTGTGAAACAGCTACTCGAGTAGCTCTGGAAAACAGGACATAGTTCTTCTCTTCGAAGAATGGCTCAGCATTGACTCTGGCAACAAAGTGGCTCACATTCGTGTTTGCTCAAGACGCCTGCAGAAGTTCTGTCTACGGCACAATTTGCAATGCTTTACAAACGGCAGCCTTGGGGCCCCGTCATCCCAGTAAGGGAATGTAGCTTTTAGAAATGATCAAATACTGCAAACAGTTAGTGCAAACAAACATTTATTGTGAAATAATCATCCTACCCTTCATTAGGTATTACATCATCAAAGCACTTTGTGGCAATGAAAATAGCGGGTTTTTTTTTTCTTTTTACCCCCTCTGATTCACCCAATATTCCATTAAAGCTGCAAAAAATGTGCAATCTGCTTGAAAAATAGGTTTCTCTTATTTATTCCTTTGTGAAAAGTCAAAAACTAAAAAAAAAAAAGAAAATGACACCAGCCAACCAGGCTTCTAGAGCCAATTTGCCTTCCCTCTGCCCTACTACTCCCCGAAATAATTACCAAAGATAATTTGTTTTAAACGCCTTTTTATAAAACCACTGCACCTTTCCCCATATTATAATCATAAAAATTTTAAAAAGCCATTCTTATGATTGATTTACTTCCTGGGAAAATAGGTGGCCAGCCGTTGTTTTTTGATTGGGAGCATGTGCATTTCCTGGGAGTTCACTTTCTTTAACTTGATGCTCCGGCTTTTTACGGATTTCCTGAGGGGCTCCGTATTTTCCATGGCCTCATCTCCTTGGCTGTTGATGTCGAAGCCCGGGAGCATGGAGTCTTCTCTTTTGAAGGAGAAGTTCTTGGTGGACACACCCGAGAGGCCTTTGATCTTGCCACAGAAGATGGCAGGGACAGTGTCTTCAACCGAGACAATGACCTTGGTCGCCTGGGACTCACCTCCCATCTCCGTGTTATTTTCAGCCTTGACCTCGCCGCCTGGGTGGCTATGCTGGCTCAGCACCTCTGGGGCACTGCTGCTGCTACGATTATTCTCCATCATGGTGGAGGCTTCGTAGGGTGTGGCAGGGGGGAAGGGCACTTCGTGGCCACTGGGCAGTTTCTCTACCCTAGGGTGACCTGGACTGCCCACTGCTACCTTGTTGTCATACAGGGCTTCAGGGGGAGGCTCAGCTTTCCGGTGGGATGCCAAAGACAGGTCTAGGACCACATCTTCCTGACAGACGGGGGGACTGGCCTCGCTGGCCTTGAGCCAGGGCACTGACTTCATGGAGAGATCCAGGGCTTCATTCTCACTTCCCTTCTTGATGACTGTGTGGCGGCTGAGCTGGAAATACTCTCTGGGATGGAGAAGGTTGAAGGGCTTCAGTTCCTCCTTTTCCAGAGGGCCCTGGGGGCCTTTAACGGGGTGTAGGCTGAAGGAAGAAGGCGGCTTGGGAAAACTGGGGCTGAACTTAGACTCGGAACTCTGAGGTATTGGGATGGGGATGGGAATAGGGACTGGCACGGGCAAGGGGACGATCACAGGGTAGGGCACCAAGAGGGTAGCCGGCGGGACCAGGGGAGTCAAGGGGGAGTTAAAGGGCTGGGGAGGCACGGAGGGGTACCCTGGAGGAGGCTGGCAGGGTGGGGGCCCAAGAGCACCCTGGGCAGGGAACAAATTCTGAAGTACAGCTTCAAAGGGCAGCGTGGGCTCCTGTGGCTGGCTGGGGATCCTCAGGTCCAAGAGCTGGGGCTGGGCCTCGGGGTCCTCCGCTCCCTGGAAGAGGTGGTTGTGGATGGCATTGGAGGAGCATGGAGCCTCCTGTGGCAGGACCAGAGGGGAGTTGAGGTGCTGAAAGACGTGCCGCTCCAGCACCACGGGCAGCTGCACAGGGCCCTGCGTGGCCATGACGTAGGTGGCATTGGCATTGGGGTTGAGCTCAGGCGCGGAGCTTCCCTCCACTTGCATGTGGATGGGCATCACCACCGGGCTCTCCCCGAGGCACAGGGGCTGCAGCACGGTGGCTGCCACCTTCAGTGCCATGCCGCTCTGGGACTCGGCAGGGGGGTTCAGAATGGACGGGGCCGGTACCGTCACCAGGGCCTTCTTTACCAGGTCAGTGGAGTTGATGTTCCAGGCCTCGGTGGTGATCAGCTGGGCCATGCCATTCTCCAGTCTGTTACTGGCCAAGGTGGGTGGGGCGTCGGTCAGGTCCATGGAGAGGTTCTGCGACTGTAGCTGGTCCATCACTTGACACGCAGGTCCCGTGGCCTGCAAAAGAGCACACCCAGTGAGTGCTCCTCCTGAGAATACTTAAGATCGCCCTAAGAGCTTTAGAAAGTTTCCATATCTTAGTCCCCCAAGTGGCGAGACCCATACTTGTGATTATGAGCTAGCGCCTGAGGAGCAGCTCTGAACCCTGCCCTGTCCCGTGCCGTCCTCGCCATCTCTCATATGCTCAAGCCCATTGTTAGTCACTGTGTCAATTCATCTCCTGGAGGGTCTTCTTCTCTTTATCTGACTCTCCACCTTTGCCAGGGGCCTAACAAAGGCACCCAGATGACCCACCAATAGCTCCAATTTAACGGGCCAAAGTACTAGGAACACAGACGATGGAATAGTGAAAGCGCTTAACAAAAACAAAGGCTTATTCCGTATTGTTGTGCTGGACCGTTAAGATGTTTGACTTGTTTACATTCAGCCAAGCGGCCCGCAGACTCGCTGTTCTTTTAAGGAGAGATCAAACCCTCCCCACATCACAACTCTGGAAGGGGAGGGGTGCCATCCCCATCAATGGAAAGCATTGAAAACACTCTCTTCAGCAATGAGCTCTCCAAATACCAGGCTGAAGAGCAAGACAGCAGTTCATAGGCTCAAGGGCTGTCCTGGCTTGTCCTGCTGTCTCCCTTCTGTGCCTGACATGTCCTCTCTCATCCATGTCATAGGACAAGCCAAGCCCTGGTGTGAGGTGGTGAGGGATTCCTCATCCACTTACCTGCCCTGGGGCCTCTACCTGTCAAGAGGCGGTGACAGGATTCTGGGGCTGGGGAAGAGGGATCACTGGTTTGAAACCTCAATTTGGGAAGAGCATGCTTGATGTCCCAGGCCCGTCCTCAGTCATCTGGCCACCTCGGGAGAGACCAGAGGGGGTCTCTCCCCAAGTGTACTTCCTGGAGGGAGCATGGCTGCAGCTTCAGCAGGGGGGCTCTCCATGGAAATATGTCCGCATTTAGCATTGTTACCATGGAGAAAGCAGGCACCATGTCTAACTCCGCTCCAGAGTCTCGCTGGGGCCCAGGAAGAATGCAATAGTCCTCAGTTTCACTGGGTAGGCTTTGGATAGCTCGGATGGTGGATCACACCTGCCTTACCATCGGCAGCTTTAGTCCTATGACCATTTCCTCCTCCTGTCCCCCAGCCCCCCAAATCAGCAGCACTGTCTCCAAAATGAGAGAGAGAGAGAGAGAGAGCACGAGCGCGCGTGAGAGAGATAGCTAAAAGGTTGGAAATAAACACGGTCTCCCAACAGGAAAGCAGCTTGAACAAGTGAACAGCTCTGCTATACTGGCAGGCTATCTGAATGTGTCAGATTCACAGAACAAGGAGCTTCTCCAGAGCAGAAGGAGAGGAGGGGGAGAGAAGGCTGCTGTGTAAAGAACTTTGTGGAGAAGGCCTGGTGGATGGTGTTCTTGGCAGGGGGGGCATGGTGGTTGCCCCCACAAGAGAAAGCTCTGGGGACCTGGAGCCCACTGCAAACCTTGAAAGGTATCAAGCACATTGGCCAAAAATCCCTTTGGGGAAGACAGCATAGAGGTAGCTGAGCCCCAGGGAGACTGAGGGGGGCTTGTCACCACTGCAGGTGGGTGGGTGCTCCCTGACTCAGCCCAGAGAATGGTTCTGTCTCTAGCATAGCATCTGTTCGTTCGTTCATTCACTTACCAGCCAATTTATTTGCCTAGTGCCTCTGTGTGCGAGCATTTCGCTGAGGGCGAGAGATGCTCTCATGAGTGGGGCATGTGAGGTTCCTGCTTTCATGAAGATTATAGTCCAGTGAGTAGGATGAGAGAGATTTTGCTAGCATGAGAAAGCCTCAAAGGTATGCCAGGAGGGGCACTCTATCAGCGACACAAAGCTTTCTTGGCCACTTGCACACAGCCCTAGGGACCTACAGCCTCCTTCAGCAGTGAGTACTTCCAGAAGCATCTGGGTCGCCCCTCGCAGTGACCAGAACCTTCAGGAAAGAATGAGAGAAGGCTGAATGGAAGCTGGATGGGGCTGGTGAGGACAAAGGCAGCAGTGATTAGAGAGGGCAACTCCGCTGAGTTAGATTCGGACTATCCTGACAGGCTACTCAGTGAAGAAGCCAAGGCATGTTCTACACCATCTCTGGGCTTCCTGTGGGTGCAGGACCATCGCACTGGGAGACTGTGCCCTCCTCATGGCAGGCTGCACCTGTCCACTTTCCAGAATGGGCAGCGCCCCCCTACCCCCGGCGCTCTTTCAGCCTCAAGTTTCTGGACGCTTCTCAACTTGCTCCTCAAACACACCCTCAGCTTAGTGGCTCTCACTTCTTCCTACTGCTCACTCTCCACCCTGCCCAGCTCAGGTTCTAGACCTTCTACTTCCCCCCAAAACCCTCCTCAAGAGTATAGGGTTCGCAGGAGAGCCCCCCACAGGTCCTTGCTCTTCTCATGGAGGACAAAACTTCAAACTTCCTGAGCATTTGGCATGTTCCAACCCCTAAGAACTGTCCATGTCATACTGAATCCTCAGAAGAGCCCAGGGAGGAGCAACTGATAATTATGTCCATTTTACTGACGTGAAGACTTAGTCTATAGCTAGGTTAAATAGCTAATCTAAGGTGATATTTCTAATCTGCGCCGCTCAGACCGGCTTTTAATTGTTGTTGCTCAAACAATCTTCTAGGTGGTTTAGCACTTGTGTGTCAACTCATGGTTGCTGTGAAGCTGAACACTGTGACCCTGATGTGCCAAATGCAATATTGGTTACCCATGGCGGACAGTGTTTGGTGGAGCTCCCCGATTGAAACAAGCTTGGAAGCAGGAGTGGCATCCACTTCTGAAATAGCTTGCCTCCAAAAACCCTGTGAACTTGGAGAAACGAAGGAAGTTATACAAGTGTTCAGGTCTTGCATTCATAGGGTTGCCTATGACCCGACAGCACTTAACAACAAAAACAACAACAAGGCGATATTAGAGACATCTGGTGTCTCTATCCATAGTTTTCATTGGCTCGTTTTGGAAGTAGATCATCAGTACACTCTTCCCAATTTCTCTTAGTCTGGAGGCTCTGATGAAATCTGTATACTATGGAAAACTCTGATGTTACCTGAAATACTAGTGTCATAGCCATCAATTCCGTTCTCAGTAATCCTACTGGACACAGTAGAACAGTCTGCATGGTTTCCAAGGCTTTAATATAAAGAAGGAGACTGCAGTAAGTCAGCTTCCAGCAAAGCCAGGGCCTCGTCCTTCCCAGCAAATTGACTGAACGTTTGGGTGATTTCTCTCCACCAGAGTCGCTGTTCTGTGGGGTGCAGCTCAAAGTAGCTAGCCCCACATCCCACCCCCAGCTTGCCTTGAGGAAGCTGCAAAGGTGGGAAGCCACCTCACACCCATGATTAGAGGTAGGGGGTCTGATCTCCACCTGGGCTCTTCTGGCCTCTGAGGAGGAGGGAAGCCGACTTGACTGAGATGCAGAGCACTCAGAGCACTATTTTATATTTTGGGGGGGTGTTAGAAACTAAGCCAGGGGGCAGAGGCCCCCTTCTGCCTCCTCCTACCTCAGCAAACCTGGTGGGAGAGGTCCAGGAGGGCACTTCCGGGCACCCGTATGGTACACTCCCTGTTGCCTCCCCCTCCTCCTCTTTCCTGCTATCCCTCCTCCCCTTGCTTTCCCCTCAGCAGCCAGACTCCCACCCCCACCTCTTGGCCAGCACCTGAAAGGGCCAGAGAGGGCACAAAGGGGACACAGTGCCCAGACCCCCAAGCCACAGGGGTTCCCTGAGAGAGAATAGGAAGGCACTAATGAAATGAAGGTTCAAAGGGCAAGTTGCATTAACCCCAGGGGGAGCCAGAAGGCAGATAATGACTGCCTGAGAGGAGCCCAGCCTTCCTGCTCTGCAGGGAAGCTACTTATTAGTGCGGACAGAGGGTGGGCTGGGACCTCTTCAAATCAAGGAGTGTCACAAGAGCCATCAACTCAGGCTCACACAAAGGACTATCCATTTCTGTAGAAGTGGCAAGGAATGTTGTGTTATTCCCAAACATCCTTTGGAAAGGAGTTTCAGTGGAGTGGGTGGGATGATGAGACGGAGACCCTCATTTCCGTCACCGTTGGCCAATTGCTGGGTTTGGTGGACGTGGGGAGAGGAGACATCCAGAAGACTCTGCTCGCGTCCTTGGGAGGCGCTTGAAGAAGAAAAGAGCCATTTCTGGGAGATGCAGCCTTCACAGCTGGATGACCCTACAGCTGCAGAAAGTCCAAAGGTGGAGCTGAACGTTTGTCAGCGTTTCCCACTGGGCAGCCTTGTAGGCCATTCAGAACCCACCTCACCTTTTGCCTTCTCTCATCCCTTTCTGAGGACTCTGGCCACTGCGAGTGACAAGCTGGATCCTTTTGGGAAGCATGTGAAGTCTACTGGGGGAAAGCCTCAAGTTCTAGGGTAGATGGAGAAGGACTCTCTGGGGCAATAGTTGGTCCTGGAAACTTATGGAGGTCATAGATGTTCTACAGATATCTTTGATTCTTATGGAAATCTACACAAAACACCTCATGGGGACCACGGGTCATCCATCCCCTGCTTATCCTCCAATCTCTACTCCGTTCCCTCAGGCCCCCTGACTTATGTCAGTCTAGTTCTGACCCCTCTCTTTCATGCTGGGCAGAGGGAGAACTCCACCTTGTTTCCTTCTACTGGTACTTTTGTACCTGATGCTCACAATTAACACTCTTTGGTACCGGCAGTCGGGAACTCAAAAGATGAATGGCACTGGGAAAGTCTGCCGTCAGGGACCGCTCCAGAGTACTGAAGAGCAGTGATATCACTCTGGAGACTAAGGTGCACCTGATACAGGCCATGGTCTTCACAATTACTTGCTGTGCATCAGAAAACTGGACAATGACTAGGGGTGATAGAATGAGAATTGATGCATTTGAGCATCAGTTTTGAATGTTGAATATATTGCTAGGAGGACAAATATAGGTGTGTCCTGTAGAGGGTGAGACCAGGCTGCTCCTTGGAGGCCAGGATTCTGA